AGAGATACTTGCCATTGGAAGCCAAAACTGTGAAGACGTGGCTCTCCAATTCTTTGCAGCACCCCCCAAAAACAAGTCTGGTTGCATCAGTACAGAAGCTGCTTATTGGAGAAGAGGAAAATAAGGATGTTTGGCCATGCAATTATAATGCAAGCCATTGAGATGCCAGCAACCGTCCTTGACTTACTCCTGGACCAGCCCCAACTCTCTCCACATATACAAACATTTGATCTGGGGGAAAACGCACACACCAAAGGGACAAACTGATGCTTGATTCCTCCATGTGACATACCTCAACTTAGCAACTTCTTCATTTCCAGGCAAGAACAGCTGCCAGTTCTCAGCTTACATATCCACAGGTGAGTTTGCCTTTGCTGTTGTTGCTCAGGATAGCTTGGGTTTGCTTTCTTAAGCAAAGAAAGGAGGAGAGAAACCAGGCTGCCAAGTTCACCTCCCAATCTACAAGGTCACCAACTTTTTAAGAAATTGGGTTCTGCTCCTAGGCCTCAATCAGAAACTTGAACTGTGGGCATTAGCAGGTGATGCTGCTGACCTCCATGCTGTGAAAATGTGGCTATCCTGTTTCCTGTATAAACAGCCATTGTTAAAGGTACAGAAGCAGGTTGGACTGGGGTTTTCTGGTCACCTGGGAACCCCCTGTCTGGATGGACAGATAACCTTAGGCTAAGCAATGTCACTTTAAGACCCTGAGCTGCAGGAGAAATGGATGGTTTATTTCTAGAGATGATTGACTCTAAAGGGGTTTTGTTTCCCAATGGATTCTATTAATGATTCACTGGAGAATGTTGCATTGGCAATAGTGACCCTTGCGTCCTATGGCTTATCTAGCTGCTGGAGTGGTTCCCATCCCTTCATCTCCATTCTAGGAAGAGTTGCACTTGCTGCGTGAGTCACGGGCAGGGGAAGGCTCTTCTCTATGCCTGCCAGAGACGGTCAAAGAACAAACCAGGACAGAGGCACAAGTCAGGAGCAACAAATATACAGGACCATACTTGAGTCGAAGAAGACCACATGGCTTGAGCGAGGCTCACTTGACACAGGAAATTCTTCCTAGATCCCAGAGTTTCCAATGCCCAGACTGGGCTGGTGGACGTAGCCCAGTGCCTGAGAGTGCCTGCAGTGCCATCTGCAGTTCAGCGATTCACCACATGGGACAGATTTCCACAAATCTCAACAACTCCTGACAACTCTTGCTTTGCATGCAGCATGCCTCCCTAGCTCTCAAAACTGGACTCTAACCACCTACCTGAACAATACCTGTATGCTTAGTGTAAGCATACAGAAGGTGACTTGGAAACTACAATTAATTCAGAATGCGGCTGCTAAACCGGTGACTGGGAATGGCCGTCAGGACCATATAACGCCGGTCTTATAGGATCTACATTGGCTCTCAGTACGTTTCCAAGCACAATTCAAAGTGTTGGTGCTGACCTTTAATGCTCTAAATGACTTTGGCCCTATATACCTGAAGGAGGCCCTATATACCTGAAGGTCACCACCACCATTGCTCAGCCCAGATACTGAGATCAAGCACTGAGGGCCTTCTGGCAGTTCCTTAACTGCAAGAAGTGAGGTTAGAGGGAATCAGGCAGAGGGCCTTCTTGGTAGTCAATGCCCTCCCATCAGATGTCAAGGAAATAAACAACTATTTGACTTTTAGAAGGCATTTGAAGGCAGCCCTGTTTAGGGAAGTTTTTAATGTTTGATGTTTCATCATGTTTTTAATATTCTGTTTGGAGCTGCACAGAGTGGCCTGGGGCAACTGAGTCAGATGGGCAACATACAAATATAACAACAACAACAACAACAACAACAACAACAACTAATGGTGTCTCTTGCAGCTCCCTCTCCTTTTAAAAACAAAAAAAGGTATATTTTTCCCTGGGCACCTTGCAAATTATAGTGCTGGGAAGACTCTAGTTACTTGGGACTCAGCTATACAGCTGCAAATGTAACATTTAAAGTGTGTTATACAAATGTGACACTAGATGGTGATGGGGAGCTTATGGAAAAATCAATATATTTTTCAAAACTCTCTTTAAAATGCATTTTCACAGCATTTTCATGTGTCTAGATTCCAACCTGCTGTCTTAATTAGCCTATGATCCCTGATCTCCCAGGTCCTAGTCTGATACCTTAACCACTACACCACACTGGTTCCATTCCATCTTCCTCCTCCTCCCTCCTCCCCTACTGAGAAGCATAATGTGAATGAGTGAAGGCTCTAAGTAATAATCCACTTTTCCTTTTCCAGGCTTTGCACTTGCATGGACTCATAATGAGGCATTTCCTTTGGCTGCTGTTCCTTGCAGGTAATACATGCAGGTTTCGGTATGTGCTAAGGAAAGCAGTCTGGGATGTCTCAAGCCCCGTTGGTCTCCTGGGTCTGTGGGGTAGCATTTGGAGGAAGGATTGAAGAATATATGAGTGGCTCATGAGAGAGCAAGCAGCAATACTTGCATGCATTGACTCTGGAGTCATTCAGATCAAAATCAGTGGGACTTACTCCCAAGCAATAGTCTACATACCATGGTTCCAGAATCCAGCAGGAATCCAAAGAGTTGGAGGCTGCAGAAGAACCAGATACCTCCCTGGCTATGAAATAGAGGAGAAGTGTCCTTTAAGACTTTGAAGTTCTCCACAAGGGAAAGGAGCCCAGAGGAGGTAGACTGCAGCCAGGGGCTTAAAAGGCCTCAGTGCTCCCAGCCTTTGTTAGAGTAGCTTAACTCACTTTGAGCTATCCATGGTCCTGAAATGGCTGCCTTCCCGCCTTCCCCACGGGACTGGGCACCAGCCATGACACCGACAAAGGAAGACTTGATAAGAAGAAGTAGCACGTGCAGAAAAGAGAAAAGGCTAAACCCCAAGCTAGAAAGTCACTTTCGGGACTTGAACACACTTAATACGACATTTTTGCTTTGCACAGCAGATGCCCTCCTTTCAAAACTCCTCTCAGATTCCTAAATATCTGGCCATGCAACCATGGGTGGTGGAGAGATGGATGTTTTGCACAGTGGGCATCCAGAGCCTCCTTGCACAGATTAAAATCATGGGGTTCTTTGCATTCTGGCCACTGCATTTACAAACAATAGAGAGGCATTTATCAGGGAAACAGTGGCCTATGAGCTGGATGGAGCCCATGGCCCCTCTTCATCTGGCCCACAGCACCCCCTTGCCCTGCCCGCCCAGCTCCAGCAATTAGATTTGGGGGAAGTGACACGCAGCATAAATTAATAACACAGCCTTCTTCAGTAAAAGAATAAAAGCTTTAAACTTGTTTGCAAATAACTGCATAGTGAAGAGAAGATTAAGCTAGCTTCAGAGCATACAGAGTTACTGAGTCACACAGAGGCTCCATTGGCCACAGGCTTCACAGAGCACAGGCTCCACCATACTCTCTCTCTCTCTCTCTCTCTCTCTCTCTCTCTCTCACACACACACACACACACACACACACACACACAGAGAGAGAGAGAGAGAGAGAGAGACTAGGACTGAGACACTGCCTGCAAGCAGATACAATACTTATACAGATAATGAGTCATCCTCAAGATGAATCACAGTGATTCAGCATGCTGAGTGATTGTGCAGCTTTTCAGCATTTCACAGCATTTCTAGACAGTATACCTGAAGGAGCGTCTCCACCCCCATCATTCTGCCCAGACGCTGAGGTCCAGCGCCGAGGGCCTTCTGGCGGTTCCCTCATTGCGAGAAGCAAAGCTACAGGGAACCAGGCAGAGGGCCTTCTCGGTAGTGGCGCCCGCCCTGTGGAACGCCCTTCCAGCAGATGTCAAAGCGATAAACAACTACCTGACATTCAGAAGACATCTTAAGGCAGCCCTGTTCAGGGAAGTTTTTAACGTGTGATATTTTACTGTATTTTTGGTTTTTATGGAAGCCGCCCAGAGTGGCTGGGGAGGCCCAGCCAGATGGGCGGGGTATAAATAATAAATTATTATTATTATTATTATTATTATTATTATTATTATTATTATTATTATTATTGACTCCTTTACAGCTTCTGCTCTCAAATACCTTTGTCACATGACAGGAAGGCCATCTATTAAAGCCTATAGAAGACTTTTTTTGAAGCTTTATTGTACAGGGAGCATGGGGGGGGGGAGAGGAAGGCTCGCAGCTCTGAATAATAATAATAATAATAATAATAATAATAATAATAATAATAATAATTTATTATTTGTACCCTGCCCATCTGGCTGGGTTTCCCCAGCCACTCTGGGCGGCTTCCAACAAAGATGAAAGATACACTAAAATGTCACATATTAAAAACTTCCCTGAACAGGGCTGCCTTCAGATGTCTTCTGAATGTCAGGTAGATGTTTATCGCTTTGACATCTGATGGGAGGGCGTTCCACAGGGCGGGTGCCACTACCGAGAAGGCCCTCTGCCTGGTTCCCTGTAACTGAAGAGAAGGGTTAATTCTCTCTCTGTGCTGCAACATCTCTGGCAAAAACTACTCCCCTTGACTAGAAGGCATTTTTCCAGCCTGACTACAGCAGGGTAAGAAGGGTAGAACGTGAGACTCAAAGTATATGTTTGTGAGAGAATAATGAGTATGGGTATGCTCCTGTATACACACACGGTGTGAATGGATTTGTGCAGTGTGAGCTAGTGGGTGGTGGCCCGACTCACTGCTCTCTCTGGCCATGGCCACTTTGGTTTTGGCTCCACCCACTGTTAGAATGTGGCCCTCAGAAAGTTGGCCGTGAGAGAATGCGGCCCGCTACATTTTGTACTTTTGCATCATCCGATGCAAACTTATCCATTGTCTTCATGGTCAAGGGAGATGATAAAAACATTAAGAGGTCTTGGTTAATTTCTCGGTTCTTGGAGACGAATTCAGTTTATGGGTGACATCAAGGAGCTGGAAGTGAATTTTCATAGTAAGTGAGTAACTGACCAACCTTTCGTATCCGCTTTCCCGTTTCAGGTTATATATATTGCGATTACCCCCTAAGAATAAGCCCCGATACTTTGGTTGCTTGGAAAGGTTCCTGCATGGTGATTCCATGCCAGATCAGTGAAACACATGATTCTGCTGAGGTCCGTGCCACGGACGTGGCTTGGTTTTTCCAGCCTGTTTGGGATAACAGTTCATTTGACTATAGTGGCAGTCTGTTGTATGACAGTTCCAAAAGGAGGAAAGGCAACACAATGGCAGTAAGTCCTGCCTTTCAGGACCGGGTGAAGTTCATAGGCAATTTGGGCAACAGAGACTGCAGCCTGATGATTACTCAGCTCCAGACAAAGGACAGTGGCACGTACGGGGCAAGAGTTGTTGCTTCCGTTGGAAACTACAATTGGAGATACAAATGGTTTCGTAACGCTACGGTCAACGTTATAGGTAAGAGTTTTGCAGAGCAGTTCTAATTTGCCTTCATTACTTATGAAGGATGTGGGACCAAAGCCCTTCTCTTTCAAAGTGTTGATAGCAGCGTTTAATATGGCAAGTTTCAGCCCATAAATGATGCCTGGAGGTTGCAAACTAGCAAAAGGGTATGTGTAGGCTTGTGGCTGTAGGACACCCAAAGATTCTCTTCCTCTTATACAGTGGTACCTCGGGTTACAGATGCTTCAGGTTACAGATGCTTCAGGTTACAGACTCCGCTAACCCAGAAATAGTACCTTGGGTTAAGAACTTTGCTTCAGGATGAGAACAGAAATTGCGCAGCAGCAGTGTGGCGGCAGCAAGAGACCCCATTAGCTAAAGTGGTGCTTCAGGTTAAGAACAGTTTCAGGTTAAGAACGGACCTCCAGAACGAATTAAGTTCTTAACCCGAGGTACCACTGTACTTAAGAACTTAAGAAGGGCCTGCTGGGTCAGACCAATGGCCCATCTAGTCCAGCACCCTGTTCTCATAGTGACTTGTGAGAAACCCATCCCAGGATCTGAGCAAAAGAGCACTCTCCCCTCCTGTGGTTTCTAGCAGTTGGTATTAGGATGCATTACTGCTTACTCCTAATCCCCTCCCAGAGCTACGGTTCCCAGAGCAGATTAACTATCAATCCCTCTTTGCAGGGAATCCTAGGAATTGTAGCTCTGAGAGGCGAATGGGGTCTCCTAACAACTCTCAGCGCCCTTAATAAACCACAGCTCCCAGAATTCTTTGGGGGAAGCCATGACTGGTCAAATGTATAGTGTGAACATTGCCTTAGATATGTCCATTAGTTTCAATGGGCCTACTCTGAGTAGGAGTTAGGTGGATATAAGCCCGGACATTGATGTAGGAAAGACACCAACATTTACATAATTAAAGATGCACATTAATTGATTGCCCAATGTGCTCAATCCCCATTTCTAACAGGTACTTACTTACATGAGTCTCTTTTTTGTTGACTGGTTTTTAGCCACATTCTCCTATTCCCCTGAGTATGCAGATGCACTGTAATAATGTTGTGATACGTGTCATCCAGAAAGAAACATTTTGATCTGATTTTCCAGACAGCCCCAAGGGTGTCCATGTTGGCATTATGAATGACCTGCCCATAAAAGAAGGAGACACGGTTGTGCTGTGCTGCTCTTCAGGCAGAAATTACTCCAGAGACAACTGGTACAATTGGGTCAAGTCAGATCACCATTCAGTTGAACATAAGTATAGTGCTTCAGAGCTGTTAATCTTCCCTGCGACCTCTGAACCGGTCACATCTTATGAATGTGAAGCATGCAACAATGCTGGCTGTACTTTATCCCAAACGGTCACTGTGGATGTACACTGTGAGTAGCACCTCTTTATTTACTAGCTGGGACCCTTAGGCATTCTGCAATGACAAATTCACAAGGCGAGGGAGAGCAGGTCACTCAGCATGTTTGGTCCATCCAAGGTACATAGCATAAATGCACACTCTACCTATTTATGCAGCAAATTCAGGGGTTGCAGGTTGAATACAAACGGATGAAGTCCAGGTTCCTGCAGACAGAGCTTTCTTCTTCCATCGTCAGGTCCAGCTCCGAGGGCCTTCTGGCGGTTCCCTCACTGTGAGAAGCGAAGTTACAGGGAACCAGGCAGAGGGCCTTCTCGGTAGTGGCGCCCTCCCTGTGGAACACCCTCCCATCAGATGTCAAGGAAATAAACAACTATCTGACTTTTAGAAGACATCTGAAGGCAGCCCTATTTAGGGAAGTTTTTAACGTTTGATCTTTTATCGCCTATTATTATTATTATTATTATTATTATTATTATTAGAGCCACCCAGAGTGGCTGGGGAAACCCAGTCAGATGGGCTGGGTATAATTAATTAATTAATTAATTAATTAATTATCATTATTTGTGGCTAGATAATACACTGTGGATGTCAAATACTTGACAGTGTTGTGTTTTATGAAAGTTTGGACCTTTGCCCATAGAAACTGGGGACTATTGTTAGTTGTCAGATAGATCCACTGAGGCAAAACCAATTTGGTGATCTTTTTCCATGCTCCTAGAAATTGAGAGTAATGTAAGCTGTGAGCATTCACAGTTGGCCCAAGAAAAGAATATGAGCGTCAAGAGTTTCAGGGCTGATAAATTATGTTGTTTTCCTGACTTCAATGCTGTGTACTTGATATGCAACAGATCCTTAGATGATGTGACTTTCCCGGGTTCAATTGACCAGGTGTGGGGTGTCTTCATATGATGGTTTCTCTTTGTCCTCCTCTCTTCCTGAAGTTGCTCCTAAAGGTGTAAAAATAAAAATGACACCAGCAGGCAAGATCCAGGAAGGGAAGTCTGTTCAGCTGAAGTGTGAAGTCAGAAAGGCAAAACCCCAGAATCTCACATACGCATGGTACAAAGATGGCGAATGGCTGGAGATGGACTCTGCGACTGAAGAGTTGTCCATTCCAGAAGTTACTTTAGCACACTCTGGCAGATACTGGTGTGAAGCCGGCAATAGTGTGGGCACATCGCGGTCCTCACCAGTCACGCTCAGTGTTATTGGTGAGTAAGATAAAGAGAGAGAGAGAGAGAGACGTTGAAATTGTGCTAATGATAAAATCTTAGAGCTTGACTTCTGTGTTGTAACCTCTTAAATTTGACTATTATTACAACTACATCATTATGCGATATAATGAGGTGGACAGGCGCAAGCTTATGACCATCTTCCTTGAACTTTTCCCATTTCAGGTTTGTTGTCTGATGAAAGTGGACTGAGGAAACATGCTAACTCTTTGGTGGCCTGGAAAGGATCCTGTGTGCTGATTCCGTGTGAGATCAGTGGAACATTTAACTTTGCCACCGTCAACGCCACAGCTGTGGCTTGGTACTTTGAGCCTTTTTGGGACCACAATTTGCAGGATTATAACGGTACCTTGTTGTACAACAGCTTCAAATTCGCAGAAGGCAATGCAAGAAGTGCTGCCTTTCAGGGTCGGGTGAAATTTTCAGGGGACCTAGGTAATAGAGATTGCAGCTTGATGATCACTCAGCTCAAGAAAAGTGACAGCGGCAGGTATGGTGCAAGAGTTGTTGCTTCTGTTGGAAACTATCCTTGGAGACTCAAGTGGTTCCTTGATGCCACAGTTAATGTTACAGGTAAGAGCTTGGCAGAACAGCTGTGATGTTTTTGCTCCATCCCATATAAAAGTGGTCTTTTAGTTGAGATGCAGAACCCTCCCTTTCAAAGTATCATCAACAGTGTTTGAGTGGTCAACTTTCAGGCCAGAAATGATGCTAGCAGTGAATCATTCCCTCTATTTCCAAACTTCAGAGGAGAGGGGAGGTTTCTGTGTAGCCAAAACCCATGCACAAGTGCTGAGTATTAGCAGGCTCGGGGTCAGTTCAAGGTTGGCATAAGTACAAGTGATCTTTAGGGGGAAAAAACTAAGACAGGTTTAGGGAACCTGTGTGACCCCCCCCACAGGTGTTGCTGGGCTTGCAGGTGAGAATCCAAAGAGAACTGAGCATTCTCAGTGGCCGTGGAATGCTGATGGAATGTTGATGTCACCTGTTGAATTTCTTCACATCAAACTACTGAAGATGTCATGATAATTCTTCGATTGCACACATTGGTTTTTTTTAATGAGATAAAGGTAAAGGGATCCCTGACCATTAGGTCCAGTCGTGACCGACTCTGGGGTTGCGGCGCTCATCTCGCTTTATTGGCCAAGGGAGCCGGCATACAGCTTCCGGGTCATATGGTCAGCATGACTAAGCTGCTTCTGGTGAACCAAAGCAGCGCATAGAAACGCCGTTTACCTTCCCACCGGAGTGGTACCTCTTTATCTACTTGCACTTTGATGTGCTTTCGAACTGCCAGGTTGGCAGGAGCTGGGACCAAGCAACGGGAGCTCACCCCGTCGTGGGGATTTGAACCGCCGACCTTCTGATCAGCAAGTCCTAGGCTCTGTGGTTTAACCCACAGTGCCATGGACTGCCTTAATTTTTCTTTAGCGGTTTCTAGCCATCTGGAGCAGCTACAACATGATGCTGAAAATGGAAGTGGTGGTACATTATGACATGCCGTCCTTTCCTAGATAGTTGCATCAAGAAAGTACGAGCGCAATCTTGTTGGTAGAACTGACTGGGCCCCAAGAAAGAGACAATCAGGTGGGCCCACAGGTCAGCCCACAGTGTATTGTGTCCAACAGCCCCCCAAGGCCTGGAACTGTGCTAAAACACAGGTGGATACTGATGTTTTGGAGAAACTCTGTAGCTCAGTGGTAGAGCAGCTGCTTTGCATGCAGAAGGTCTTAGCTTCAGTTCCCAGCATCTCCAGATGCTTCATCCACACACATACATTTAAAGCACTCTTATACCACTAACAATCATGGAACGTTGTTGGCAATCTTGCTTGTTACCAGGGCTTTCCCACCCAGCTGGAACTCACCAGAACTGAGTTCCGGCACCTCTCAGGTGAGCACTATTGCCGTTATAAGAGAACAAAGGAGGCGTTCATGGTGAGTTCCGGCAACTTTTTTCCTAGAAAAATAGCACTGCTTGTTATGGTTTTGGAAGTAATATCTCCATGAGGTCAGCACCCTTAACAAACCATAGCTCCTAGGATTCTCCATGACTGTTTTAAACACATTGTAGGATAGGACTGGGTGAGACTCCTGTCTCAAATCCTGGAGAGAGCAGCAGCTGTTCAGTGTAGAAAATATTGAGGTGGATGGAGCAATGGCTTGGCTCAGTATATGACAGCTTCCTATGTATTGGTGGCCAAGACACCAGGTTCTCAGCAGTATCAATCAGTTTATCCAGGAACTTTTTATCATCATTTTGCCCTAATGAGGGACTGCTATTTTTCTTTTCTTTCCTTCTGTGGATTCAGAGTCACCTCCAGAACCCAGGTTGGAGATAGTCCCTGCAATAGTCCACCAAGGGAGGACTACAGAAGTGATCTGCTCAGTGCCTTACCATTGCACTGATGTGCTCGTACTCATGACTCTCAGTGGCTTAGAGAAGCATCACTTGTCTCCACAAATAACCATGCTTGAAAATCAAATCACGAAGACGGTGACGTTTGAACCCACATGGGAAGACAACGGGAAGACGGTGGGCTGCTTGCTGAGCAATCTGGACGGGTCAGAGATATCCCACAGTACCATGAAACTGAATGTGAGATGTGAGTGCACAGTGGGAAAGGATGGGTCCTTCTGTGGATTGAGAAGATGGTGGGGGTCAAAAATCAACTAATGCGATTAGCCACGTCATCACAAAGGCTGCAATAATATGCACCAGGGGTAGTGAAAAAGGGAATCCTTTCCGTGCAAAGGGCCATCCAAGTTCTGCATTTAAACCTCCGAGGAAGGAGAGTCCACTTCCTGATGTTTAGTCAGAATCTCCTTTCTTGTAACTTGAATCCACTGGTTTGGGTCCTGGCCTCCAGAAAAGCCCTTTAGATATTTGAAGATAGCTATCATATCTTCTCTCATTCTCCTCTTTACCAGGCTAAACATGCCCAACTGTTCCCCCAACTGTATCTCATAAGGCTTTGTTTCCAGACCCTTTATCACCTTGGTTTGTTATTATGTATGCAATCCACAAACAGGCACATTGACCTGATTTTCCAGATCGTCCCGAGGATGTCCAGCTTACCATTATGAATGATTTGCCAATAAAGGAAGGAGATGCCGTCATGCTGAACTGCTCTGTGGGCAGAAGTAACCCTGGAAACAACTGGTACAATTGGGTTAAATCAGATTCACATACAGTTGAACATAAGTATAGTGGCTCAAATGTATTGGCTTTCCCTGCAACACCTGGATCTGAAACGTCTTACACTTGTGAAGTGTGCAACTATGTTGGCTGTACCTCATCCCAAACAGTCACTTTGGATGTTCATTGTAAGTAATGCTACTTAATTTGCTTTCTAGAAGCCCTGGAGCACACATCATTGACCAATGTACTTGCTCACAGGGTGAGGGAAGGCTTTTGGAGGCAAGTGTATTCATTCAACACATTTAACCTGTCCAAGACACACCCTCTGCCCAGCCCATGAAGCAAATTCAGCCTGAATGCTCAAGGAACTAAATCCTCTGTTCATTTGCGGGTGGCCGTTACACTGTGGATTCCAGGTGCTTTGTAGCCTTGCTTTGAAACATGTCAATGGAAACTGTGGGCCACTGTCAGTTACAATTTATACATAAAGACCAACCAGAGGGGGGAGAATTTGCTTTGGAGAGTTTGAGGATGATGTAAGCAGCAAGCTCTCCCTGATTGCACAAGAAGGAAGTGTGTGCCTGGGGTAGGGCTGTCACATTCTGTATGTATGTGTCTTTGGGGACAGTACAGGAAATTCCTCTCTTGTGCAACTGGCTTTCATGCATGCCATGGCACTACCAGGCAAGGAATGTCCAGCATGAGGAATTAACTCTTTATTAGAAGTACACTTGCAAGTTAGGAACAGGCATGTCCACCAGTTCTACATCTCTCAGCTACTCCTAGGTGTGCACCTGATGAGGCAGTTGCAGCGACAGAGAGGCCTCAACCTCAGCTTATGTATTTTCCCAGTGCTCCCCCCTCCCCTAAAAAAATGTTTAGGGGTACTCTCATTTTGATTCAAGCAAATCACCATTTTTTGGTTCAAATCGGGGAAAATAAAAACAATAAATGGACAAAAGTACAAAGGTTCACAAAATGTTTAGGGGTATGCATACCCCCGTGTCCCCCCAGAAAAAAAGCACTGTATCTCCCCTACTTGAGCTGTGTGCAAGCAGGCAAGGACTATGTCTGTGTGTAACCTGTTTCTGTATCTCCCATTTCAGTTCTCTTCTGATCCTGGGAGACAGTGGAGCAGGAGAGGTGGGGGCAGGAGGTGGCGGCAGCGTGGGGGTCCTTGACTTTACACCAGCTTGACCTATCTTTTTCTCCTCCTGCACCTGTTCTTCACTCTCCAACGCTGCAGTTTCTCCTGCCTCTGACTTCAACCCCCCTTTTCCCAGGTCCTCTCCTCAGCATCTAACCCCCATTCCTCAGTGTCCAGTCAGTCTCTGACAGTGCAGCAGAACTGACATGCAGCAGAACCCTTGGTGCTGCGGTGATGTTGATGATGATTTTGCATTCATTTGCTTGTGTCTTTGTGTGATGCTTTGTATTTGTCCTCCCTTCCTGCAGTTGCTCCCAAGGAGGTATACATTTTGGGAATGACAGAAAAGGTGGTCCATCAGTTTAGCCGTTTTCAGGTGACGTGCGAAGTGAGTGCAGCTAACCCTCGAGAACTCAAATACGCATGGTACAAAGATGAGCAACAGCTGCTGCAGAACTCTGCAGATAATGTGTTGACCATCCATGAAGTGAAACCAGAGGACTCCGGGACCTACCATTGTGAAGCAAGCAACAGCGCAGGCCCATCACGCTCCCCAACCATTCTTATAGATGTCCGTTGTGAGTAAGACTGATTGAGCTTATTTATAGGCCACCTTTCCGCAGTGAGCTGTGCCCAAGGTGGCTTACAAAAAACATCCCCTTATCACCAAAATACAAAGAATTGCAGGGGTGGTTGTGGCTAGGAGTGCCTTTCTTCTGTTCTGGGTGGTTCTCCAGCTATGAACCCTTTTGGATAGAGATGACTTGGTCACTGTACTCCATGGTCTGGTATCTTCCAGATTGGATTACTGCAACACACTCAACATGGGGCTGCCCTTGAAGACGATTCGGAAGCTTCAGCTGGTCCAAAATGCAGCAGCCTGATTACTGGCTGGTGTTCCATTTAGATATGATATAACCCCATTTGAAATAGCTGCCTTGGTTGCCAGTTCATTTCCGGGCCCAATTCAAGGTGTTCACATTGGCGTTTAAAACCCTTAAACATCTCAGGCCCCAAATATCTGAAAGTGTGCCTCCTTCCCTACAGCCTCACTTGGGTGCTGAGATTGGCCCTACAGAGGCTGAATGTGGCGAGGGCCTTGGACAGGGCATTCTTTGTGGTGGCCCCTAAGCTGTGGAACTCCCTCCCAACAGAGGTACACCTGGCACCTTCATTATACAACTTTCAGAGGATGCTGAAGATGCACCTCTTTGCCCTTGCATGTAACAGTTGAGGTGTACGCTTTTAGGATCTGCTTTGTTTTTATGGCTTAAAGTTGTTCTAAATTGTTTTTAATACTGTTTTAGTGCTGTAACTCACCCCTAGATCTTAAGGTGAAGGATGGGTAATAATTGATTGATTGATTAATAATAATAATCTCTTCTCCAGAGGAGGTTGAGGGCAGCAAAATGGAAACACTGCAGAGGATAATGGTGGTAATGCCTCTTCTTCAGCCTCCTGGAAGTTCCAATTGCTGGTGCTGGTTTTATTGGAATGATGGGTTGTTGGAAGCCTTCTTTTGTTCTAATACCTAGGCACTAATCCTATTTCATCCCACAGCTGAGCACAGAATCCCAACATCTCAGACTCTGAGTCTCTGTTTCTGTACCAGTGGCCTTTTTCTTATGTCATATTTTCAAGCAGAGGTCATGGATGCTCATTCCACCCCAGCTGATAGAAACCAAGTCATTGCTAGTAGAAGGTCACACATCCTTCAGGCAAAAAGCCAGCTTCATTCGCTAATAGGATTGTGGGGCTAAAATGAAATGTTGCCTACATTAAGCATTCCCATATTCACATTCTGAATTTTGCATCTCGCAATGTTTTCCATTTTGCTTTCCAAAATTTGCCTTGGGGTTTTGAAAGGCATAGACCTTTAAATGACCTAGGAATTAGGTTTGGAGCTGAGTAAACTGCAGAGCTCACCTTCAGTGGGTGGTATTTAAGACTAGTCCTACTCAGGGTAGACCCATTGATGGACATGGCTAACTTAGGTCCATTAATTTCAATGGGTCTACTCTGTGTAGCACTTAATTGAATACTACCCAGTTTGTGCAAGAATTGGCAGGAACCACCTCAAAAGCAATATGCATAAGAATCCTTTGGATTATATCTGGCCTAGGGATGTCCTGAGAGATCTGAGAGTGAGGTGCACAACTTTACAGAATGATGCAGATAATGCTAGGGGTCTGTTAGTTGTGGGGATGGTAGGATTACGGATGTAAGATGGCACCCTTTTCCATCACATGCAGCACTGTTTCCATGCTGCTGCAGTTCTTCCTACAAAAACTACATTATTTGTCTTCCTGTCCACTGTGGGAAATTTATGTAGCTTATGCAATATATGTAATTAACTATGGTGTCATTACATTATTCCATCTCATTTATTTCAAAATAAAGGAAACACAGTGCAAATGGGAGCAAAAACAAAACACATATAATAATAATAATAATAATAATAATAATAATAATAATAATAATTTATTTATACCCGCCCATCTGGCTGGGTTCCCCCAGCTACTCTGGGCGGCTTCCAACAAAATATTAAAATATGGCATGGGATGATTAAGTGAACATAGACAATTTCTGCTCCTGTTTCTGTTTTTGTCATAATTCTCTGACATCTCTGGAATATGATGCTGAGTATGTTTTCTTTCTTTGCCCCAAAGCTTGATTTATAGGGATTTCAAAGAACTGAAACAAGCAGTCATCAATATTGTGACCACCTTCTGAGAACAGAAACAGAGCAAAGTCCCAAAGGATATGTCTGGATAAGAGAATCTAGAAGAAACCACAAAGGAGGAGGGGCAGTCAAGATCCCAACTCCTTTCTCACAAGTGATGATTCTTCTGCCATACTTTCCACTCTTTTCTCAAATGTTGTCTTGTGTTCACATCCCTTTTGTAAGAGAATGAATTCTTGATAAACATCTCCATAAGATGAACCTTGGTTTAAATCCCCATTTAGAATCAAACAATGTTTGTAGGGTACCACATTGGCTACATTGGACCCAAAGCTTAGGCCAGTCTGGAAAGTCTCAGGTTCCTGCCTCCTCATCTCCCCATTTTTGCCTTTTCCTCTTGTGCACTGTCTCTGCATACTGACTGGGAAGGGCCATTGCTCAGTGGCAGAGCATGTGCTTTTAATGGAAAAGGTCCCATTCCAAACCCTGCTATCTCTTGCTCTGGGCTGGGGAAGATTCCCATATGAAGCCCTGGAGAGCTGCTGGAAGCCAATAACAGCACTGACTTGAATGGACCAATGGGATGAGCTCAGAATCCAGCCCTTTTCCATGTTCCTAATTGCCAGGAAGAGAGTATTCCCTAGCATACATTGAGGATGGGCGGAGGGAGGGAAGAGATACTTTCATTTGCTTTTTCATACAAACTCACCTAAGCAAAACCCAACTCTCCTTTGAAATCTGCTTCACCGAATTTTGCATTGCACTAGGGGATATCACTGGCAAAAATGAGCTTATTAGGCATAATTGCATACAAAAAATCCATACATTAGGAGATCTGTGCATGAAAATGTGTTTCAATCTTCTCAAACACATTCCCCAAATTGATGTAAAAATGCAGCGAACTTAACGACTGAAAAACATGAGAAAGAGAGGGAAACCAAAATGGGCAGATTTCTCTGACCCTCATGAACATGCACTGAATTTGACTTGAAAAAATGGAAGTCACTTTCAAACTCCCACCATCACCCCTAGCTATTGATCATGTTTGCTGGGGCTGAAGGGAGTTGTAGTTTAGCAACATCTGGAGGGCAAAAGGTTACACACTTGTACTCCTATCAAGACAAGGGATGGAGGTCAGGAGATAAAGATGGTAGAATGGCCAGTACCAATGCTTTATGGACAACATAAATATATCCCCATGAATTGGTAGGGAGCGCTTCTTCTGTTGATGTCCTGAACCCATGGCCTACCTTGTGGCAAGTCAGGAGTCAAGTCCCTAGTCCAGGGTCAATCCACATGTCCACATGTGTGCTGTGTCATGTGACTGATTATGTGTGGTGGGGCTTACCTGGGCCCCCACAGTATTTTATTCAACTTGGCACCACTGCACTGTTGTGTTTTCTGAACAGCTGTTGTCTTGATTCTAATGAGTGTGTGTGAAAACCAACCTACTGTTTGAAACTGAAATTTACATTCATTGCTCCTCCCGCTTAATCTCTGGCCCCACCCACCACTGGCACCCAGAACAGAATGCAGTCATTGGGAGGAGTAAGGTTGACCACATCGGTTCTAATCCAAATTTAACCCTCATTTGGCAATTCTGTTCTTAGCTGTTAGTTTCCTCCTGTAGCTTGCTGAGCTAATCAAAGTGTCTTTAAATTACATGTTAAACATTAGTGTTGGCATTGCTAACTAAACATGAATACTGCTGTACAAAGCAATTGCTAGTCTACATGATTTGACTTGTTTTTTGCTTTGCTTTTGTTTTTTAACGGACTGTTGTATTCATCCTTTGGGTTGCTCTGTATGTTTTGTTCTGTTTTCTGAAAAATAATAAAAAATTCAGTTTTAAGAATGAATTATCTGGATAAGTAGATTAAGTCTGGACTCCAGGGTGCTGACATGGAACTGTAGCGAAAAGTACATCATTTTGAGCCCCTCATGCTATCGCTTTGATAGTCAGTAGGCGGAGCTCTTTCTTTTTCATCAGGTTAGTTTTGGCCAGAGTCACATAAGTAGCTAGAATCCCCTTGTTCACGAGAGCTTATTAGGCAAACACACAGAGCTTCCAAGGTATTCTGGGCCACCTGCTGGCTCTGGGAAGGAACTGTAAGTCTCCCTTGCTCAGCAGCATTGAGACACTGTGAGTGAGCCTATAAGTGAGGGGGGTGGCAGATGCAAAAAGATGACCAGGTCACACAGCCAATATGCTGACCCTTCTTCTACAAATCTTTTGAAATTGCAGGAGCCTCATTAGCCTCAACTGCACTTTCATCTGGCCACTCCACAACCTTGTCTTCCAATTGAACTCTGCTCCAAACAAGTCTCAAGTAGTAATGGTTCATTCAGGCAGTCCTGCAATTCCAAGGGGCACCATCTCCCTGTCTATTGCTCACCCTTCACTCCTGTTGAAGGTGCTTTTCCTTTCAGCTTGGATCACTTTAGTATTAGAGCCCAAATGGAGTTGGGGAAGAGAATTGGGGGTGGGAGTTGTGTTTGACCATCAGTTAAGGGAGGAGGGCTAGGGCAAAGGGTCCAGTATATCCTGTGCTTGCATCCCTCTGGTGTCTTCAATTGTACTTAAATTGTAGACTTGTCTTTGAAGACATGGGTCTGCCACTGTGGTCTTTAACTAGGATGTGGAACGTCAGGCCTGGAGGCTGAATGCAGCTTTCCTGGGTGTTTTTATCTCTTCCTCAGAGCTCTCTCCAGCCACAAACACACTTTGCCCCCTTAGTGTTGTTGCTTGGCTGGAATGTGTCTTTGAACTCTGATCATGTGTCTTGGAGAATACAGAGAATGCAGAAAGGTGAGCGAGTGTTCGCCTACTATACAAAGGTATAATTAACATTCCTTGCTCCACCCATTTTTGCCTCTCGCCCGCCCACCAGTCAC